GTTTCTTTCTCTTCTCGGTCCAGCAATGCAGCTGTTTTGATTTCACCCTGCCAAATTAATGAAAAGTATTTATTAAAAAAGAAAATTTATTGATTTAATTACACAGGGTTGTAGTATATTTCCAAGGGAGTTTTATTACACACTGTTTACGTCACACTTACCGTTGTTTCGTTTATCAGGAAACTAGAATTCCCACTGCCTGCTTCACTCATTCGGTAACTATACTGTGTTTCCGGGTCCTCGGGATCAGGCAATCCAACATTTGCAACTAGTGTCCCGATATTTACATCTTCTCTTACTAGTACCTCACGAAAGACTGTCTCGGTTCCGTTTGTGCCTTTGACAAATAGCGGTTCGATTTGTACTAAGATGTTGGTTCGACCAGAAAACATGCCATCGCTGACTGTTACCGGCAGCAAAATGTCATTTCCGTCCAGTAAGCCATATTTACGAAAATAATCCCTGCTGACTAAACCTTGAGTGGTTACTTCACCACTTCTCGAATCAATGGAAAACATATTCTGTAAATAAACGCTATAATTGATATCAAACGAGTACGAGAGTATGTCACTACTGTCATCGTCAGTTGCGATAACTACTGCGACAAGAGTTCCAAAAGGTGAATATTCCATTAGTATATTCTCATATGGAGTGTTCTGAAAACGTGGTTCATTGTCGTTGATGTCGATGATTATTATTTTCAAATCAAAGTTCAGCGACTCTGTCCCGCTCATGACCAGTTTACAACGCAGCTCGTATTCTTCTCGTGTTTCTCTATCAAAGTGTGTAATAGAAGTAGTTAACTCGCCGGATGTCTCGTTTATGAAAAACACGCCGTAGTTGTCTCCAGTTATTTCATAGGAACTTATTACTTCGGGATTGATGACGGTTGTTGATAAGTCAAAAAACGGTTGCATTATTACACTCTCTTCATTGAAGTCCAGAGTTTCACATCCACTCTTTAGAATAATATGTTCGCTGTATTCTGAATATAAAGAGTGAAAACAACGTGAGTATACGATACACTATCTAAGTATACATTGTATGTGCATTAAAAATGACTAACCTTGCTCACACTGAAGACCTTTATATCCTTCTAGACAGTAGCATAGATATCCATAATCTGCAGACACACAGTATCCGTTGTTGAAACATGGATTACCAATACATTGATCTGAGAATTGAAAAAAATGCCGTTTCATAGAGGCTGGAGTATACAAAAGTAAAACACAAAACATCAGCATGTAAATTCCACGTACATGTACCACGCTACATAAAAATATTGTATTTTCTATTTACAGCTCGTATACAATTCAACGAGTACTAACCTTGTATGACGGTTATGTTTCCAACTGTATAGTTTCCTAGACCATCTGCTTCGAGATTACTGATGAGATTCTGCGTTGATAGTTCCTGTAATGCATCCGTGGTGTTTTCAGCAAATACAAGATTCATGACAACTATGACAGAACCCCGTCTATAAAAAAAGTTTGAACACATAGAAAATACACCATTTCTCATTTTATAACTGAAAAACACTCAAATGACGTAAATTAGTGATAGGAGAATCACATCAGGATTCGTCTGAAAACATAAAACGTTTTTCGAGAGACGCACTTCAGGATATGTGAATTTCTCCGACTACAATATTTCAAGCGCGTCAACACTTTCACGCCGAGAGTCATTTGAGATCCAAACTTCTAGCTTGGAATGTCTATGTTGGGTTCCATATTAATATACAAATCCGTATAGCTACATACACAAAAAACGATCTGCCCGAACAAGCTCAGCATGCGAGGAAAATGTTGACACTAAATAAAATCACTCAGTCAATTCTAACACGCATGCATAATATTGTTGCACTTATGTGTTTGACCCTCACCTGAACTCCACAATTTCTGCACGGATGAAGTCTGGTGTATGTTGTAAAAGACGAGCTACCTGCCGACAGAAGCAGATAACAACTGTCAGTGGTGAGTTGACATGTATCACAAAACAAATTCATGCGCAGACCATCGAGTGATAGCTTATTTGTACTACGTCCAGCTCACATTTTAGCTTATTAACTACGCAAATTATTTAGGGGCAACAATCATACATACCTCGGCAGTTAATGATGTGGACAATGTTTTAAATGACTCTGACTGGCGATTATTCAGGTCTTCCACAAACTCAGCATTGGTGACAACGAGTTTAACGGTTGTTACCACTTCTTTCGCTGCAATTACAGTGATTTGCATAAACAAGTAACTCAATTCTTACTAATTACAGTTCAAATGATCACATACACATATGAAGAACCCAAATTCTAAATCATATTACTTCCATTAAAATAACTTGTTAACTTAGAGAATGGTTAATAAACATTGGTAAATCAATTACAAGTAATCTGGTCTCACTCACCTTCAGAGTTATCAGGTTCTCTATTTCCTGGTACTCCAAAAATGTAGTCACCTGGGAAACTAATCAACATAAACACATGCATAATAATTGAACTTCACGATATCAGTAATTCAAGGAATCCTTATTTATAAACAACGTGATCGTGAATGTTCATATATCAGCATATATATAAATTATTTCATTACGGATTACAACATTTGTATTTATATGTCCATGCTGCACCATTCTAATATCACAATACTTATAACATGTTACACATGTCTAGTGAGATATCATCATATTACAATTCTGGTTAAAAGAAGACTGCTATTATTTAATGTAGTTTTACCCGAATGTTACAATTTCCACACGTCTGAAACCAGGAACGTTTTCTACTTTGTTTGAAATCTGTAAAAAAAAATATCGACACAGCAAAGTAAATAGGGCAACCGCTGGTTATGTTATTATTGATCATTGTAAGTATTCCTTAGTGAATATCGACTATGTAAAAATGAGTGAACTTGTTTAGGAAATTCTATTTTTTCAAAACATAGAGATTGTTTGGTGACTTATAATGGTTAATGTTTAATTTGTCATATGATCAATACTTAATGTAGCATTCCCAATGTTTTAAGAAAATTTGGTCTGCCTGTACTTTCTGTCAACACAAGTTTTAAGAAGATTCCAAAACTTATTATTATCAATGTTATTTTTATCAAAAGTGGCACCAAAACTGAGAAGTCGTATGTAGACACTCGGTTAGTTAACTCCTCTTATGTGGCGTGGGAAGTCGGTTTGTATTTATGGTTACCAACAACAGGTTGTCATATTACGTAGTTTGTTCTCAGTCAAAAAAGATATATATATATACTTACCTCTTCAACAACAGTGTCCTCTAAACTTTGAAATTCAGCAGAAATCCGATTAGCATATTCCTCCGTATACAGAGCATTTGTTATTTCAAATTTTAACACAGCAGTTTTTGTCTCTGAAATGTTTCAACAATGAGCTCAAACTTATTATTTCTAATAAGGAACTTAAAAATATGATTTGCTTGGAAAATTATGTAAAAGGTACCTTTTACATGCCATGTAATTTCATTCACAGTTCTCAACCTATTGACATTTGTATTTGGACACATTTGTCAAATTTAAACTGCATTTAGACATTGTCAATTGTCAATTATAACTCAGAATTTGGCACATTTGTCAATTGTAACCCAACATTTAGACACATTTGTCAATTGCAACCCAACATTTAGACACATTTGTCATTGTAACCCAGCATTTAGACACATTTGTAAATTGTAACCCAACATTTAGACACATTTGTCAATTGTAACCCGCTATTTAGACGCATTTATCCATAGTAACTCATCATTTAGACACATTTGTCAATTGTAACTCATCATTTAGACACATTTGTCAATTGTAACTCATCATTTAGACACATTTGTCAATTGTAACTCATCATTTAGACACATTTGTCAATTGTAACCCAGCATTTAGACACATTTGTCAATTGCAACCCAACATTTAGACACATTTGTCAATTGTAACCCGCTATTTAGATGCATTTGTCCATAGTAATCCAGCATTTAGACACATTTGTCAATTGTAAATCATCATTTAGACACATTTGTCAATTGTAACCCAGCATTTAGACATATTTGTCAATTGTAACCCGCTATTTAGACGCATTGT